TTTCAGATAAGATGAAAATAAATTTGAAGAAATGTTTAAATCCATCACTATAGAGCACTCCTCAGGTGTATAAGGCAAAATGATAATTACCATGATTGTTGAAAGAATGAGTTAAGGGATCCTTTGGGAGATATAGTTTATAAAAATGATGATTGTGTTCATCAATTCAAGTACATGCATAATTGAGTAATGTCGCGTTGTTAGGACATAGTAGACACTTGGGGTGGTGGTGTCTGCTTTGCTGTGGCTGGCGCACTTTGCATTTGAAGTTGATAGAAATGAGCTGTCAGGATCTACAGGAAGACAATGAGCTCATCGCCTTTGGTTAGCTTTCTGTCACCTTTAATTCGACTCTTGTCCTGATGCCTTCATCCATTTTCCTTTCACTTACCTTTTGATAAACATGGCAACCAAAAGTGACTTAAGAAATACCCAAAAGCAGGTACTTGGGAACTTTGTCTTTTGAAATGCACCAGGCTTCTCTGTTGCTTGAGGTTTGCAAGTTGATCAGTCTCTCTGGCCCTCTGTCCTCTCTCCCCGTTTTGTCTTTCGTTGTGTCTGTAGTATATCATGTGTAGCATGCTCAGAGGCAGAGTGATACTTGTTTTAGGTATGTTTTTGAGTAACCTGTAGTTCAGTATCATGTATAATACACATTTAATAGTATGAAGGCTTAATAGCCCCTTCTTATTGGATGGACTTGGAATTTAAAACTGAAGAGATATTTGGGGATTTATCTGTAGTTTTTATTTTTATGTAAAGTAATTTCTGTGTTACTTATTTTACTTATATCGTCCAAAAGGAAAAATTGAAGCCTGCAAGGGGTCCTTTTTTATTACCTGTAAGCAGAATGTTACAGCTATACTTCAGCATTTTAAAGCTCTGCATACTTCTGATGAATTAGCCTTTGCAGAGGTGTGTGTGTAGTTTTGGGGTCCCCTGGAGGCAATACAATTATAAACGTTTTCGTTTCTCTATTTTGGCAGCTAAGAAAGTTTTCTGTAAGCATAACTTGACTTGACTTTTATGCACTGAAAAAAGTATATATTTTGCAAAGTGTTCTGTGTGTTAAATCTCATTGATTTGAGAGATTCTTAGCTCTTTAAAATACTTGTCCCTCATTTAAAAATAAATTGTACCCACAGTAGTAGGTTGCTTTAGTTAAAATAGTTCTATGTAATTATGATGAGAAAATTAATTCCATGATTGGCTATTTAAAGCATGCTTATTTTCATTTTCAATGTTTCAGTACAATTGAATTGTTTATATACGCAGGGGAATCCTGTATTTTCAGTAGAACGCATTTGCTAAGAAAATAGTACAAGGAAGACCTGTCAGATGATTTTATAAAAGTCAAAAAAATTATCATGTGATATAGGTCTTTAATCTGTGAAATAATGTATTTGAAAGTATTTTGGGAGCCGGTGCTGTGGTGTAGTAGGTAAATCTGCTGGCTGCATTGTCGGCATCCCATATGGGTGCTGGTTCAAGTCCTGGCTGCTCCACTTCTGATCCAGCTCTCTGGTATGGCTTGGGAAAGCAGTAAAAGATGGCCCAAATCCTGAGCCCCTGCACCTGCGTGGGAAACCTGGAAGAAGCGCCTGGCTCCTGGCTTTGGATCGGTGCAGCTCCGGCTGTTGAGGCCAACTGGGGAGTGAACCAATGGATGGAAGACCTCTCTCTCCCCCTCTGCCTCTCCTTTTCTCTGTGTGTGGCTGCCTTTCAAATAAATAAATAAATCTTTAAGAAAAAAAGAAAGTATTTTATAAAATTGCAAAGTATAAAGCAAATGTAACATAATATGTATACCAGTTACTGTATGTTCAAGTATAATGTCATATTAAGGAGCCCTGGTGTTGTTGTCAAAACATTGTTTCTCCCAAGATGCAAGGCACACATTATAGCTATTTTTTTTAATTTTTATTTTTTGACAGGCAGGGTTAGAGAGAGAGAGACAGAAAGAAAGGTCTTCCTTCTGTTGGTTCACCCCTCAAATGGCCGCTACGGCTGGCGTGTGCAGGGCCCAAGCACTTGGGCCATCCTCCATTGCACTCCCGGGCCATAGCAGAGAGCTGGCCTGGAAGAGGGGCAACTGGGACAAAATCCGGTGCCCCAACCAGGACTAGAACCCGGTGTTCCAGCGCCGCAGGCGGAGGATTAGCCTAGTGAGCCACAGCGCCAGCTACATTATAGCTATTTTCGTGTAGCCTCACAAAGGCCACCTCAGTATATAAAAATGCCTTAAATAAGTTTTTAAAAAGGCCACATTTAAAAAATCTAAAAAAAATCTAAGAAATAAGAATGTCCTTTTTCTTTAAACATTTATCTATTTGAAAGGCAGAGTTAGAGAGAGAGAAAGAGAGAGAGACTGGTCTTCCATCTGCTGGTTTGCTCCCCAATTTGCGGCAACGTCTGGAGCTGCACCGATCTGAAGCCAGGAGCCAGGAGCTTCTTCTGGGTCTCCCATGTGGGCACAGAGGTCAAAGGACTTGGGTCATCCTCTGCTGCTTTCTCAGGTGTATTAGTAGGGAGCTGGATGGGAAGTGGAGCAGCCTCACCTGAAACCTGCACTCATGGGATGCTGGCGTTTCAGGCAAAGAATAAGTCCTATCCCTACTCATTTCCCTATTTCTGAGACTCACCCCACCAGACCAGGGAAGAGGACAGCTTGCCTACTTTACATGGCTCTTCTTTTTTAAAGGCCAGTTTTATCGATTTATAGACACTCCAGATTTAACAAACATTTGCTGAGCATATTCTCTACATCAGCCGCTGAGCTAGCTTGAAGGGGCTGGACTCGATTAGGGAGTGTGGCTGTGGATAGGCCTCTCCAGGAAGTTTCTGGTTGTCCTCCTGAACGCTTGTTCTGTACACAAGTCTCAGTGCTGACACTGGTCTAGGGCTGAAGGGCAGAGAGATATGGGTGAGTGGATGCATGGTTTTGCGTGTTTCTTAATAAAAAGGGGGAAAATTTTGAAGATTTTCATTAGCTAAATATTAAAGGCAAATTAAGGATGTAATTCTTTATTATTTGCCAAGGGAAATATGTGTTAAGCAAAACACCAACAGGGAGAAAGAATGATAATTTTGATCATTGTAGCAAAATGCTTATAAGCCCATTTTAAAGAGAATTCACTGAAAAAAACACTTGAACATCTATGAAAAAGGGTTAACATTAAAAAATAGTCAAGAAAGAGAATGCTTTGATGGGAAAATTTGCAAAAGGACATAAGCAGCCAGTTAAAAAAAAAAAAAACACAGGTTAGCAAAGCTACTATCTTAGTTTCCTATGTCTGCTGTACAAATTCTCACCAGCTCCATAGCTTCAAACAACACAACACTAATTCTTTGACAGTTTTGCAGGTCAGAAGTCTAAAATGGCTTTCAGTGGGTCAAAACCAAGGTGTGAAGGGACTTTGTATGCTCTCCTCACTGCTGTTTCCCCGATGTCCTATACATGGTGGTCACACGTGTCTGTATTGCCTGTCACTGCAGATACAAACTTTTTTGAGTACTTCTAGAAATTTAGGTGGCTAACAATAGGTGATATTCATGGCTTACTAGTCATATAATTCTGTGAAAATTGTAATACGCACCATGTAAAGCAATAGTGTTAGACAAAAATACCTTTGGCAGTCATGTCTCCCTAATTGTCATGTTCCCTCCATATGCTATTATGGAGGAAGACTGGAAGTAAATTATTGCAAAATATTCACAGTGGTTATCTCTGGGTTATGAGATTATGGTGCATTTTAATTTTCTTCTTTGTTTTTCAGTTCATTCCAAGGAGTTTATTATTTTGTAATTTGAGACATCAGGATATATTATTTGGTATTACTTTTTTAATATTTATTTATTTATTTGAAAGTTACACAGAGAGAAGGAGAGGCAGAAAGAGAGAGAGGTCTTCCATCCACTGGTTCACTCCCCAGTTGGCCACAACGGCCGGAGCTGTGGCGATCTAAAGCCAGGAACCAGGAGCTTCTTCCAGGTCTCCCACATGGGTGGAGGGGCCCAAGGACTTGGGCCATCTTCTACTGCTTTCCCAGGCATAGCAGAGAACTGGATCTGATGTGGGGCAGCTGGGACTTGACCTGGCGTTCATATGGGATGCTGGCACTGCAGGTGGCAGCTTTTACCTGCTATGCCACAGCGCCAGCCCCTGGTATTACTTTTATAATCAGAAAAAAATAGTGAGCTCCATAATAAAAACATTTTGGCTGTTGTATGTACAAGAGTCCTGAGACAAGAAATGTTCCAAGTCACTGACTAGGAGAGCTTATATTTATGTAACCCAAAAAAGTACAACCTGCTTCAGAATTATGTTACTTTTTGTAATCTTTGAACTAATGTTTCCTAATCTTAGTCTTACTTTTGTTGCATCAAAACCACTTCCAGTAGTTTGTAAAATATTATTTTAATTTATTTTGAAAGGCAGAGAATTGAGAAAGAGAGAGAGCAAGAGAGAGCAAGGGAGAGCTGGAGGGGGTGGGGAGAGAATTCTCTATCTGCTGGTTCACTTCCCAAACGCCTGCAGCAGCTGGGGCTGAACCAGGGCAAAGCTAGGAGTCATGAATACCCAAGAACTTGAGGCATCACCTATTGTCGCCTGGGGTCACGTAGCAGGAAGCTAGAATTGGAAGTGGAGTCAAGACTGTAACCCAGAAACTCGGATAAGGGATGTGGGCATCCCAAGTGGTGTCTCAACTGCTGTGCCAAATGCCTGCTGCTGAAATGTTATTTTAAAAGCACAGTCCCCCACTACTTTGGTATAATTGTCATATCACATGTGTGTTTAACTTAGTTCAGTAATTTAATGTCTGTGCATTTAACCCATTAGACAAATTTCAGAGAAAATCTTTTTTTTTTTATTTTTAGAAGTTCATGAGATATAAAGTCCGATTCCAGCTGCAGACAACAGTCTGTTCTTATATTTTCCCTAAAACAAGTAATGATTTTTATTTCTCAACTGGCCCTTTTTGGTTAGAAGATGAAGCCTTGGATTAGATGAAAAATCACAGAAAATCCTGTAGTTTTTATAAATCCAGGCTGTTTGTATTTTTCCTGCCTATTTCTCTAGGATAATTAAACAGTGATGGATTAGAATTAGGCTGCAGCAGAGATTGGAGGGGGGATCTCCCGGCATCCCTTGCTGCAGAAGCATCCACTACCAGCAGTGAGCAGTGAGTGTAGCTGCCACTTTAACTGACACATCTTAAATCCTATCTTGCAAAGCTCTGGGATGCTGTCAGCCACCTCGGCAACTTCTTTGCTTGTGCCTGGTAATTGAAAGTCTCCTTGGAGAACAAGGAATAAAACAGAATTTGAGGAATTTTGTTGGCTTTTAAATTGAGAATTCTTTTTTATTGACTTTTTAAAATATCTGGTAGAAGAGAGGGAAAGACATCTTCATAGTGGAACTGTATTCATTCCTTCAAAGTTAACAGCTGCTCTAAATCTGTGAGTATGTTGTATTTATTTAGCAGTTCCTAGGAATATGATTATAATGTTCTCTTTAAATCTGCAAGGATTTAGTCGAAGGAAAGCTTTGTAAAAATTGTAGACCAGAGTTAAATGTCACTGGAGACCCGCAGGTTTTGTTAGGTGACATTGTCTGCATTAAAGGCTTCATATATCAGTCTTGCTAGGGCTTCCGCCTCCTCCCACCCCCCTTTTTAACTTCTTAAGGGTGAGTGCTGCAATTGGAGCAAATAGCGCATCTTGCTGCTGCCGCCGCTGCGCGGAGGAGCTGGGCTTTCCGGATGCCATGGCTGGTTTACTGCGGCTGCAAGGTGCTCTTAGGGTTGCTGAGACTCCCCGCTGCAGAACAATGGCAGGATGGTGATGGTTCATGCTGTGTGTCTTATGTCTTCTTCGGACTTCTTTGTAGGGTTTTGTTTCGCTTTGGTAGGGTGATTAACACCTTAAAGATTAGTGAGGGGGCATGCTCTCAAAAATAGCTGTGGGTCCTCGTAACCCTCACCCTCTGACCGAGCTGTACTGGCTGCAGCCAGTCTCCTTGTAGCAGATTGCAGTGAATGACATCTCGCAGAACGTGACCTTTGCATGACCACCCTTTTCTAATTTTGCATTGGAATTGGTGCTGTGCTTTTTTTTTTTTTTTTTCTACTTGTGACGCAATCCCTGAAGTCTAAACATCTGTCCTTAGTCATCATGTCCCACTTTCCCTGTTTGGAATTCACCAGAGGCTAGCACTGTATCCTTGCTGAATTATGAAATGAATGGATTGTGAGCATTTTGTAAAGACAGAGGTTAGATTCCGATTGCCACCATAACCCCTGTATGTACATGATTTGTCTTTGTTAAAGGCTAGTCATGATTTTAGTTTACTGAACCGATTCATATAATTTGGGTACTGATCCCATTCCTTTATCTTAAAATCACATTAGCTAAAGTGATTTTTAAAAGTTGATATGTTCAGAGATCAGTAGTCAAAATACTTTTAAACACCAACTGGTCCCAGTCATCTTGGTAGATACAGAATATGTTTGACTGAGGCTGACATGGTATATGAGCATTTTGGGTGCCAGAATTTTGGTTGACTTCCTACAGCATAAAATAAATCAAGGATTTTAAAAAAGAAATGTTCTCCACCACCCAGGGATCAAACATCTGCTGTTTTTATTTTTAAACATTTTGTCATACCTAAATACAGCAATTTCACATCTAATTAGGAAGGATTTCTAAAATTAGGAAACTCTGCCTTACTTAGACTTGCAAAATTTTTATATCTGTTCACTTATTTCATTCATTCATTCAACAAATATCTGCATTTGTTGTAAAGCACTTGCCAGACCCTGGGAATATGATGCGGAACAAGATACTGTGTCTGTTCTCATGAAATAGATATTTCTAGCAGGTGAGACAGGCAATCACAAACTAATTATTTCATTGCAATTGTGATTTTTCAGCTGTAGAAGCATAGGTACTTTTTGGCCCAAAGTATACAGGACAAATAAACCCTTCTGGGGCAACTGCTTCTGCTTCAGATCTGAAGCCACACATCCTTCGGATGTTTGAGCTGTAAAGAAATGTAGAAAATAATGTAATTAGTTCAACAAGCATGTGGTAGGCACTGTGTAAGTTCTGGATTTAGATGAGTAAGTAGGAAATGGTCTCTGCACACAGTGTAGTGGAAGAGAAAAGGAAACTGGTTATGTTAGAATAATCTGTATCATCACTTACCTATTTTATTGCAAAAGAAATAAAGTGGATTCTTTTTGAGTCTAATGTGTCAGGCCCAGGACTTAGGGTAAATCAATTTTTTATTCTTTTATTTTATTTATTTTATAAATCTCTAGCACCAACCACTTTAGCACTCCCATTTTACAGATGAGGAAAATGAGGTGCACAGAGGTTAAAGCCATTGCTCAAGGTCATACGGGGTGCTGGCTGTAAGTTATCGTGCTGAAAATAACATATCTGTGCTCCTCGAAGCTGCTGTATTATGTCCCTTAGCCAGAGGCTGACGGGAGAGTCCCTTCCTCTTCTTCTCCTCTTCCTCCTCTTTTCCTGCTTCCTCCTCCATCACTCCTGGATGTCACACATCATGAAACATGAAAAAGGCTCAAAAACCAAGCCTCACGCTGTGGGATATTCCTGACATCTTGGACTTACTTTCCACTTTCTGACACCACATTCTCGGTACATCTTTGGCTCATTTAAGAAACAATGGGATGGCATATATGGGCACAGTATCCTTCAGAAGCAGGTCAGTTAAGGAATGTGCAAATGGTACAGCCTAGACAATGAATCTAAGAGGGAAAATGCAAGGATTTCTTTTAGGTACAGATGGCTGCCCATCAACATCAGCCGTCTCCCCAGAGTGGCAGAGAGGACTTGCCTCCTAAGTAATGAGTTAGAACCCTTGCAAATCTGAAAACGGATGAGGATAGAGAGTAACTTTACACTAGAGATATTGACCCCCAGGGCCATCTGTCCACTCCGTTTCTGAAAGGCTCTGTAACTACTGTTCCCCCTTAACTGAGATAAATGTTGCCTCTCTGCAGCCCCTGTCCACTGCTCTGGGGATAAAACCATTGTAGTATCCTGCATAAGTTGACCCAATGACTCTTTCAAATATGTGAGGTATTCTTCCCACTTCCCTCATGCATCTTTGTATTTCCAGGCTCAGCACGCTCAGTTGTGTCATTTCTTCCTTAGGTGATGTGTCTCAGACTTCTCAGCTTTCTGATTTCTTGGCATTTGACCTGTGTGAGTTGCCAGGTGGTGGCAACCACAGCTGGGTGCTATTGCAGGCATAATCTGGTCAGCCCCGGGTGCAAATAGGTCATTTCTGATTGTGACACACACAGTACTCTTCTTTTAATGCTTCCTGTGCTAGTTACCAATACCTGTGTGACAGGTCATCACAGGACTTTGCAGGCTTAAAACAGCAACAATTATTTGCTTAAGGATCTGCAGTTTAGGCATGATCCAGAGGGGATGGCTCATCTCTGCTCTCTTGGAATCACCAGAAGTGGCTCAGGCTGTAGGTCCTTGATGGAACATTTACCTTGCTAGACAGGACGAGTTGTTGACTGGGAACGTAGCTGAAACTTTTGGACAGAGCTTAGTTCCTCTTCCCGTGTGCTTAAGCTTCCTCACAGCATAGCAGTGTGGTCCCAAGCTTTAGGTATTCGAGTGACAGGAAATAGAAGCTGCTTGTCCATAAGACTTGGACGCCTCAACTAAAACAAATGTTGGATTGGTCCAGTAGTCACAGAGACCAACTCAGATCAAGGCGAGGGACCACAGACCCCACTTCTTCTTGGGAAGGGTGACAAAGAATTTGTAGCCATCCTTAATGTATCCACTTGACAAATTATTAATCCTCAAGTCAAGCTCCCCACCCCAGCCACAACATATTTCTTTTTTCAAAGATTTGTTTATTTATTTATTTGAAAGGCAGAGTTACAGAGAGGCAGAGGCAGAGAGGGAAAGAGAGGTCTTCCATCCACTGGTTCACTCCCCAAAGGCTCACTCCCCAGATGGCCACAACGGCCAGAGCTGTGCCTATCCAAAACCAGGAGCCTGGAGCTTCTTCTGGGTCTCCCTCATGGGTGCAGGGGCCCAAGGACTTGGGCCATCTTCTACTGCTTTCCCAGGATGTAGCAGAGAGCTGGATCAGAAGTGGAGCAGCTGGGACTCAAACTGGCGCCCATATGGGATGCCGGCATTGCAGGCGGCGGTTTTACCTGCTGTGCCACAGTGCGGGCCCTCGGCACATTTTGAAAGCAGTCAATGAAAACCCTAAGAGTTACACTGGCACTCTTGCTAAGGTGGGTCTCTTCACTTGTATTTGCTCAATGGTTATCCTGAAAGTAACAGTTTTGTTCTTCCTAAATTCCTCCTAGTAGGACTCTCTAAGATTATTTGAATCTTGACTCTGTTTATCCTTCATATGAATTAAGCATCCTGCAACTGTGTCATCTGTGTACACAGTAAGAATGTTTACTGTGTCCTCACTCAGGATATGGTAAACACAACATGGGACAGGACAGGCTTGTGGTTATTAGCCACGTCCCTCTAGACTAACATCAAGACGTTAACAGAAATGTCTTATGGCCCTGGTAACTTAACCAGGTAAGAAGTCACTTTACCGTGTTATTCTACACAGTCACTGACAGCCAGAGAGACTTAGGTGCTTAAATGAGGAAGACAAACAGAATGCAAGTTCGATGTGAATTTCATTCACTTACTCTTTTAAATAGTTCATCAGTCCACTGGTGTGAACCTCCTTAGCAACCATTCAAGTGGTATGAGTGGATTTCTTTGGTGTTTATTTTAGATTAGCAGGCTCTTGAATAATTTCTTTAAGGTCATTACAGGTGACTGCATTTTAAAAAGCAGGAAAGCATGGGACAAATCTTGAATTTCTTTTGTGTTTGAGGCTGTAGGACTGTCTTCTCAGGTCATAGCTGGGGCAGAACTTGAGCTTTCCTGTGATCTAGCAAACCAGGACCTAACATAGCTTTTGTTTGCCATTAAACCTTAGAGTTTTTTTTTTTTCTTTTGTTGTTGTTGTTGTTCTTCCTAAAGCAATAACATCCCTGTATAGCAAAACCATGTTGTATGACTGTTTGATACCCCAAACTAAATAATTACAGCCACATTCACTTGAAAACAGTCACATATTGAAGGGTTGAAGAAAATTCACCTCTGGGGTCTAATTGTGTACTTATGTGCTTCTCCTTCTGTTTTATTTGTTTTTCTACTAATAGATGTTTGTGGGAAAAGCCCTGGTATTTATTGAAAGCTACTTGTTTGGAGATGAAGGTCGCATGGGTATTTTCCATGACCTACATCTATTTGACATAAAATGTCAAGGAACAGACTGTATTTGACACAGCAGTGCTAACAGAATCAGTAAAATTGCCATTCAGTCATCAAATAGTCATTGTGCATCTCTGAGCAAAGACAGACAGTTCCTGGCCTTA